TATGTGTATGCCTGTGTGTGTATGTATGTCTGTGTATGTATGTATGTATGTATGTATGTATGTATGTATGTATGTATGTATGTATGTATGTATGTATGTATGTATGTATGTATGTATGTATGTATGTATGTATGTATGTATGTATGTATGTATGTATGTATGTATGTATGTATGTATGTATGTGTATGTATGTATGTATGTATGTATGTATGTATGTATGTATGTATGTATGTATGTATGTATGTATGTATGTATGTATGTATGTATGTATGTATGTATGTATGTATGTATGTATGTATGTATGTATGTATGTATGTATGTATGTATGTATGTATGTATGTATGTATGTATGTATGTATGTATGTATGTGTATGTATGTATGTATGTATGTATGTATGTATGTATGTATGTATGTATGTATGTATGTATGTATGTATGTATGTATGTATGTATGTATGTATGTATGTATGTATGTATGTATGTATGTATGTATGTATGTATGTATGTATGTATGTATGTATGTATGTATGTATGTATGTATGTATGTATGTATGTATGTATGTATGTATGTATGTATGTATGTATGTATGTATGTATGTATGTATGTATGTATGTATGTATGTATGTATGTATGTATGTATGTATGTATGTATGTATGTATGTATGTATGTATGTATGTATGTATGTATGTATGTATGTATGTATGTATGTATGTATGTATGTATGTATGTATGTATGTATGTATGTATGTATGTATGTATGTATGTATGTATGTATGTATGTATGTATATGTATGTATGTATGTATGTATGTATGTATGTATGTATGTATGTATGTATGTATGTATGTATGTATGTATGTATGTATGTATGTATGTATGTATGTATGTATGTATGTATGTATGTATGTATGTATGTATGTATGTATGTATGTATGTATGTATGTATGTATGTATGTATGTATGTATGTATGTATGTATGTATGTATGTATGTATGTATGTATGTATGTATGTATGTATGTATGTATGTATGTATGTATGTATGTATGTATGTATGTATGTATGTATGTATGTATGTATGTATGTATGTATGTATGTATGTATGTATGTATGTATGTATGTATGTATATGTATGTATGTATGTATGTATGTATGTATGTATGTATGTATGTATGTATGTATGTATGTATGTATGTATGTATGTATGTATGTATGTATGTATGTATGTATGTATGTATGTATGTATGTATGTATGTATGTATGTATGTATGTATGTATGTATGTATGTATGTATGTATGTCTGTATGTATGTATGTATGTATGTATGTATGTATGTATGTATGTATGTATGTATGTATGTATGTATGTATGTATGTATGTATGTATGTATGTATGTATGTATGTATGTATGTATGTATGTATGTATGTATGTATGTATGTATGTATGTATGTATGTATGTATGTATGTATGTATGTATGTATGTATGTATGTATGTATGTATGTATGTATGTATGTATGTATGTATGTATGTATGTATGTATGTATGTATGTATGTATGTATGTATGTATGTATGTATGTATGTATGTATGTATGTATGTATGTATGTATGTATGTATGTATGTATGTATGTATGTATGTATGTATGTATGTATGTATGTATGTATGTATGTATGTATGTATGTATGTATGTATGTATGTATGTATGTATGTATGTATGTATGTATGTATGTATGTATGTATGTATGTATGTATGTATGTATGTATGTATGTATGTATGTATGTATGTATGTGTGTGTGTGTATGTATGTGTGTGTATGTATGTATGTGTCTGTCTGTCTGTCTGTCTGTCTGTCTGTCTGTCTGTCTGTCTGTCTGTCTGTCTGTCTGTCTGTCTGTCTGTCTGTCTGTCTGTCTGTCTGTCTGTCTGTCTGTCTGTCTGTCTGTCTGTCTGTCTGTCTGTCTGTATGTATGTATGTATGTATTATGTATGTATGTGTATGTATGTATGTATTATGTATGTATGTGTGTGTGTATGTATGTATGTATGTATGTGTATGTATGTATGTATTATGTATGTATGTGTGTGTGTATGTGGTACATTTTTAGTGACTCACTCAGAAATATGATTTCCTAACTGCCATTCCGACAAATAATAGACATTATGAATGACAATAATTGTAATGTCAATGTTTTCCTATTCTTCTTCTTCTGCGTTTATCCGAAGATGTAATTGCGTTGTGTCCGTTTACAGCATGGTTGCGATATTTGCATCTTTCAGCTGACACATCTGACTTCTGCGCGCCTTCGTTGACCGGGTTAGCCTTCCCGGTAATTTTTTCATATGAGGTTACCCTTTCAAACACTCACACATACATACACACATATAATATTCAAAATAACATTTCAGCATGTATTACCAGAGACTTACATTTCAATGATTTTCAATGTGATAGATTTTCAATGTGATAGATTTTCAATGTGATATATTTTCAATGTGATACTGTTTAATATGGCACATCCCATCAGATCAGCGGTTGTCAACCTGTAGGTCGTGACCCGTTTTGGGGTCGAACGATCCTTTCACAGGGGTTGCCAAACACCATTGGAAACACATATTCACTTAAACAATGAAGTAAAGTAAAGGACACTTTTCCACGCTTTTAGGCGTAAAGGGCATATAGGGCTAGACCTATATTTTATAGACCAACGGCACAAGATGGGTGATATGGCCAGCATCACGACTGCTGCCTCTACTTCCCGGGACTGCATCTGGTACCCACTCAAGGCTGGGTCGACCTGGGAGCCAAGGTCATTTGAAACATTGAAGTAGCAACGAAAATAATTGTATGGTTGGGGAGTCGTCACAACATGAGGAACTGTATTGAAAGGTCGTCACAACATGAGGAACTGTATTGAAGGGTCGTCACAACATGAGGAACTGTATTGAAGGGTCGTCACAACATAAGGAACTGTATTGAAGGGTCGTCACAACACGAGGAACTGTTTTGAAGGGTCGTCACAACATGAGGAACTGTATTGAAGGGTCGTCACAACATGAGGAACTGTATTGAAGGGTCGCCACAACACGAGGAACTGTTTTGAAGGGTCGTCACAACATGAGGAACTGTATTGAAGGGTCGTCACAACACGAGGAACTGTATTGAAGGGTCGCAGCATTAGGGAGGTTAAAAACCACTGCCTTAGATGGGTTTTTTCGAGACGATTTTTTTACACCGCGTTTAACCAAAAATGGTGTACAGCTTCTCGGGCGCTCTGAATTGAAAAACAAAAATTAACAAGAGGGAAAAAATGGTGGTGGGGGGGGGGCGGGGCTGAGATCCTAGGCTGCGGTGCCTATATAGTCTTTACTACCACTATTTCGAACCTTTTAGGTCGGTGTAAATGGGAAAAGGGGTGGTAGGGCGAGGTGAGCCGAAGCTAGCATGGATAGTTCAGTCGCCACGTACTGTGCAGGTAATGATTTTACTCTTGTCCAAACATTTAGAAATTCATCACCTTATCAAGGATTGTAACCTGGCTCTGCCCCATGACAGCTCAGCGTTCTCAACCGCTCGACCAGCCACTCCTCAGTAGCATAAAAACAATAATGAAAGGTTGAGTGTTAAAATTATAGAGCTATAGAATAGATGGAACTATTGCAAGTAACTTGTTAAAATTATTCCCGGGTAAAAGAAACGAAGAACAGTAAGTCATGCATGAAATAACTAATCAACAACATGTTTGTATATAACACTACTGATTTACCATCATCATTTATCATCATACCATCAATTTCCACTTCTGTCGTTACGCCTTGTGGGAAGGAACAGTTTGAAATCCATTGCTTGATGGGCAGCAACGTCTGTTGTCATTCCGTGTCTACGTGGAAACTCTTTAATGCCATCAATCCCCACTCTCATAGAGCGGCCTCTTGATTTCGCTTCAAATATTTGTATATGTAGCGCCTGCTTTAGTAGTTATTCTGGTTGCATTCTTCATAGATGACCAAACCATTTGATCTGCTGTTTCTCATTGAATTTGCTGCATGGTGTTGTTCGTACAGTCTGTCAGATAATATTTTAAACTTTGTCTCGGACGGTTACGTTGGTGGATTTTCTCAGGCATCTCATTTCACAGGTGTTAATTTTACCTAGGTTTGTCTTTGATAATGTCCAAGTCTGGCACTGCTAGCTCAGTGTTTGTTTGAATATACCGTTTATAATCTGTTTCTTGACGTTTATAATTATATTTGAATTTCTTTATACCTGAGTCACTTGGTATATAAGTACACTAGCACGCTGGCTGATTTACCGATTGAATGAATTAACGAATTGGATACGTCCCGGTAATTTTTTAGTAAGATATCAAGTTTTGCCCCCCCCCCTTCCCCCTTCCACCCAACTGTGTAGTATATTTCTGTGTGTATTATGGTTTTGTTATAAGCTTTTTTGAAAAGGAAATATGACTGTATTTTTCTTGTCCCATACATCCTCTATATATTTAATTCTTTGGCGTATACTTTTACTGCAAATGTTGTATGCAAAAGATTGTTTTTTTTTTTTAAATATAGCAGAAGGAGACAGTCTAATTATTTAGTAACATCATGAGAAGAAGAAAACTGGAGTAAATTGTGCCAGTGGGAAACTGGAGGGGGTAAAGAGAGAGAAGATACTGGATAGTTTGACATCACGATATGGAAGATCATCGGTGTCAGAAATGGCTGGTACAGGAGACAGAGAGAGAAGATACTATATAGACATCGTGATATGGAAGATCATCGGTGTCAGAAATGACTGAAGGTACAGGAGACAGAGAGAGAAGATACTATATAGACATCGCGATATGGAAAATCATCGGTGTCAGAAATGACTGAAGGTACAGGAGACAGAAGTCTGTGCAAGGACATGATTTTAAACTCATAACGGCGTTGTCTATAAGAAGAATATATAGCATATTTGTTAGTTTATATATACAAGATAGTGGTTTATGTTTGCTATTTTCACTTAGCGATAATAAAAATTATTGGTGTTACTAAAGATCTGCTGACTGACAGCCAGAACAAACAAAGTTGGGCAACCATGTAGGAATCAAAATCACCTAGTATATTTGTTGTATCGGACTGAACTCCAATTGCAAAGGAGGCATATGGGACAACGCAGATAAAAAAAATAAGTGCAATTATGAGAAAGATTTTCCTTTCTTTGGCTGGATCAAGAGGAACTGTTGTGTTCTGCTGGTGAACTATCTGGGCTGGTGGAGCGTAGACAACGTTAGGCTGTGCTGTGTATGCAGTGTACTGTTGTTGTACAGGGAACTGTGGTGGTGGATACTGCACTGAGTATTGTGGTGTTGGGTACTGCTGCTGTACTGGGTACTGTTGTATTGGGTATTGTTGCCCTGGGTATTGCTGTACTGGGTACTGCTGCATTGGGTACTGTTGCGCCGGGTATTGTACGTTGGGTGTCGTAAAAATCTGCTGGTTGTTATTGTTCCCAGGTTTGTCATTACTTATTGCTACTTGGGGTTGGGATGTTCCGGATTCACCATTGACGGAATGCATTTGTTGGCCTTGAGTGCTGTTGATAGGATACGTCTGGAGACCTCCTGGATACTGAGGCGGTCCTGCAGCATTGACGACGTTGATGGTGTGGTGGGAGGTTGCTACCACAGTGTGTGGAGGGACTTGGTAAGTGACCACTGCTGGAGATGAGGAGTAGGACGCTGGAGATAATTTGACACACATAACCGCACCGCACACCCCAACAGACACGATAGCAGGGAGGATCACTGACACGACGTACATGGCATTGAGTCTCGACAGTGAAACAAACATTGCACACACGTCGATTCCATTTTTGTATCCGTAAATATACGCATTAGCAATAGTGAGAGGGAGTATGATCACTAACCCACTGATCCAAGGAAATGCGCTGTAGACTATGGACTTGACAATGCTGCTTGCTGCGTTCTCGTTTGGCTGAGGTGTTCGGTTTCTTTGCACGAATTCTAGTGCCAGCACTATTAGTCCCACGCCGTATACAAAGTGTATCAGGAAGTATACATACGACCTTAAGGCTTGTTGTGTGCTGCAAGCAAAGTCAGAGACAACAGATAATCCCTCAAAGAATGTTCTTGCTAAGACGACCAACCCAAATAGGGCCAAAAAAATGTCTCCAATTGCCAAGGATATCAGAATGAGACTTCTAGGAATGTAGATAAATCTACCCTTTTGAATAGTCTTGAAAATGAGAACACAGTTTGAAAGGGTAATGGAAATAATGAAACAAATTGACAGTCCTTTATATGCATCAAGTATGGCAACGTAGTCCAATTCAGCCATTGTGATTAACTAGTTAACAAGCTGTTTTAAGGTGAAGTCCAATAAGGTAAAGTTCAATCAACAGTAGGCGAAGTTCAATCAGTATAAGGCGAAGTTGAATACGGTGAAGTCCAATCAATAATTTGAAGTTCAATCAAAAAAGATGAAGTCAAATCAGTATAATCAATCAATATAAGGTAAAGTCAAACCAAAATAAAATAAAATCAAATCACCATTGGTAAAGTCCTATCAGTATAAGGTGAAGTTAAGTTCGTATTAGGTGAAGTCAAATAAATATAAGCTGAATTCCAACCAATATAAGCTGGTCCAATCAATTTAAGGCAAAGTCCAATCAATACAAGGTCAAATCCAATCAATGTAAGGTGAAGTCAAATCAGTATAAGGTGAAATCCGATACGTTTAGGTCCAGTCAACATAAGGTGAGGTCCAATCAATTTATAGGTAGTTAGTTCACACAGATGCTTTGTGAGATCACCACACCTGATACAAGAAAGAAAGAAGAGATTAAAAACAATAAGTGCTGGTTAAACTCACGCTGGTAATATATATAGTTTATGTTACAGTGTGAAGGACGTTTTCATGTACATCACCGGATATATAGTTTAGCTAGGTCATCCAGGAACTGTTACAGCAGCGCGATTCTAACCCCATCAAAATCAGATGGCCATACCCGATACCTAGGGAAATTATAATGTGTTAGAAGTCGGGGCTAAAGGGGTATAATCATTGAAAGAGTGCACGATATTATTATTATTATTATTATTATTATTATTATTATTATTATTATTATTATTATTATTATTATTGTGTACCAAGTGGCCAATAAATATAATATATCTGTAAAAGTATAAACAGTATAAACAAAACGTTAACGAGGGAACATCGAAACGTGGTTAAGGGAACCACTTAGCTCCTCTGTAGATTTTCTAGGGAAGGATAGGGGTCCAGCCTTTCTGAAAACGAATAAGACCCCACATATGAGTTCCCCTTTTTCCCAACGCCAGTGTTATTTGGGAGGGGACGAGCGCTTAAGGTGCTCTAATTCGCAGATTCCAGCGCCTTTAAAGGAAGGAAATAATCTCAGCACTGGACTTAAAGGTGTGCTTCTGTACTACTTCCACATGGGTCAAACAGACATCAGTTCTTAGTTATCATTACTTGTGCAGGACGACAGGTTATACCGGGCTTGTGTTGTCGTTGCGAATGCCTTAACTATCTTCCTTGGAGACAGAACAGAGTATCTAGGCTTGGCCGGTTGGCCTGCAACCATCACTGTGATTTTTTAGTCTCACCGTGTAGAACCTACAGGTCCTACTAGTTTGCAGTCATGATTAAGATCATGTGATCTCAAAATGTCTCTAATTCACTAGGAAACACGCAAACCTATTTGGAAGATTCATGCACATATAAATAAAGGGTTTATTATAATGGTGCTGAGGGGGCTGCGTGGTCTCAAGGCATGGTGTCCGCCTCGAGGGCTATAGGTTCCGGGTTCAATCCCCGGTAAGGGCTGGGATTTTTTTCACGTCGACTTGGACTTCTAGTAATTCCCCCTGGTCTCAGGATAGTGAGATCGGACGCCGTGTGCATTGTTGCGCACGCAAAAAAATCTCTTAGCAATTGGAAATCGAAAAGAGCAGCCTAACGGCACTGCCCAAGCAAATTTGGCGTTAAAAATCTACCCTAAGTATTATAGGATCCTCGCCGGTGCTAGAGCTTGTGCACTGTGCTGAGCTTCTCTGGACTCAGACTTGAGTTAGAAGAAGAACGCAGCACTTATGTGTTACTACCCGTGTGCCATGATCTTGATCTGTTGTTCAAAACTGTCAACTTCATTGATGGTGCTGTTGTTGTTATATGAATCTCACCCCCCCCCCCCTTTTTTTTTCTCTACCAGTCAGTACTAATTTAGTTATAACGAATATCCATTAGGGAACGGTCAGTAGAGGAACACTTAAGTAGATGCTGTATCTAAGGACTGGAAACATGTAAAAATGCCAGATGTGCAATGACGTCGATCGCATTACCATAAAATCATAATAAAATACATTATAACATAGGAAATACAGGCAGCTATTTTATAACTTTAACATAGCAGGACAGGAGCCAAATGTGATGGTGATAAAACGGAACATTACTACTGCAAGAAGAAGAAGGGAGGGGAGGAGGAAGGGTTGAGGAGGAGAAGGAGAAGACAAAGAAGAAGAAGAAGAAGAAGAAGAAGAAGAAGAAGAAGAAGAAGAAGAAGAAGAAGAAGAAGAAGAAGAAGAAGAAGAAGAAGAAGAAGAAGAAGAAGAAGAAGAAGAAGAAGAAGAAGAAGAAGAAGAAGAAGAAGAAGAAGAAGCTGAAGAAGAAGAAGAGAAGAAGAAGAAGAAGAAGCTGAAGAAGAAGAAGAAGAAGAAGAAGAAGAAGAAGAAGAAGAAGAAGAAGAAGAAGAAGAAGAAGAAGAAGAAGAAGAAGAAGAAGAAGAAGAAGAAGAAGAAGAAGAAGTAGAAGAAGAAGAAGAAGAAGAAGAAGAAGAGGAAGAAAAAGAAAAACGAAGAAGAAGAAGAAGAAGAAAAGGAAAAGAAAAAGAAGAAAAAGAAAAAAAAGATAAAGAAGAAAAAGAAGAAGAAGGAGAAAAAGAAGAAGAAGAAGAAAAAGAAGAAGTACCAACAACATTTGAGGACATCATTCTTATTCATCATTACTGTAATAGACACTTTGGGGTTAGTACCGTCACTTTTCTTTTAGAAAAACTTTGTAGTGCCAACCGCACCAGTCTATTTCTAGAAAGAAAAGGCTCTTATGATGATGATTATGATGATGATGATGATGATGATGATGATGATGATGATGTTAATAATCTCACAGGCCATAACAATAATAATACTAAGTGCGTTGAGATCCTACAGAAAGGTCCAGATAAAATAGACACATAAAGTACACTTCATAAAATGATAAGGCAGGTGAATTTTTAAAGAAAATGCTTTAACAAACATCAAAGATTCCAGTGTACAGACAGCATGCTACTAATGACAAAATATTTATGTCATTATAATATGTGCCGGTAATCATCACTAAGTGTCTTAAACAGGTGCTGTTACCACTATGTGTTTATTACAGGAGCGTAGAGAAAAAATTATGCCTAAGAAAAAGAAAACAAAGGCTCCTGTACTGTGTGCCGTTAGGTCCCACTAGAAAACAGAAATGTCCTAATTAAAAAACACCAAAAAAGATCACTTTGGTGGTGATCAATTAAAGTTTACTAAACCAGGAGAAAAAAACAGTTACCTTCTCTGTTGACAAACTCGCAATCGATCATTAGAACTACTCGCGTCGTGCTGAACCAATGCTTGTGTAACTGCGAGCAGTTGCCAGTCTGTAGGTGCGGAACGTTTATATGCTTGCAGAACAAATTAAAAATAGGATCATGTCGTAATGCAACCGCCAGTGGTTGCTTCAAGATAGTGTATTGTTATAGCTACGAACCGTGGCCTATAAATGTGTTTGTTTTGTCCCGGTCTCCTGATGACAGTTTTTAAAACCAAGTTATTTTTTTAAAATTATAATGTTTTTTTTTTAAATTGTAAACATATGCCAGTGAAAGTCGGAGACTCACTGAATACCAGGAACAAGTGTTAAATGCATCTGAAAACGAATGCCAGATGATTATATTGAACTTAAAATGGGGTGAATCCAAGAGGGATGAAGACAATAGAGAAATATCATGACAATCAGTGGTAACAACAGTTAAAAGACAAAGAAGATGGCGCCATGTTGGACTCAAACTGAGAAGAAATCACCAAACAGTCACTAAATGGGAAATACATGGATTGAGGGAGCGAGTACGCCTGAAAGAAACCCAAAAAACGAAGGTTGATAGGAAAGGCCAAAGTACTGCACTGGATTAAATCCATGATATAGAATGGATTATACAGGATAGAAAAGAAAAGAGGAATAGACTGTGATGTCTATGTGACATGACATTAATCCAATAAGCTGTGACTAGAAGGCTTAAATAAAGTGGGAAGGGAAACAACATGAACAAAACAGAACAATCGAAGTTTCGGTCAGAGCCTTTCTCGACATGAACTTCACAACTGTAACAAATAGCAAAGTAATCCAATTACTAATGCTCACGTGAGAAAGCCAAACATTATAGGAAGAGAAAAGGGTGATGCAGACTCCATAAAATAAAACACAGGAAGGAGCGAAGAAAAGCTTGATTGCAGTATCAGGGCACAACAGGACTCTGATGAGATGATTGTTGATGCGGATATCCCTTACCAGCATTCAGGGGTTGAACGGGGGATCTGGGATCTGTCCTTTGGGCCTGCCATCCGGATTAAGATATTATAATCTCAGGGTTTCACATCTTCAATAAGCATCCCCGAAGTAACAAAGGACACGCTGACATTAGATTAGACTTTTGCAAAGACCAGTCAGCATGTAATGGGTGCTGTGGTTAACGTCACGCTGGCTGCCTTTACTTCCCGGGACTTTACCGTGATATCGATTTTTTTAGCAGGATTGACCTTATTGACCCTTTTCTACGCAATTACGTGTATTGGACATCTAGACATTTATTTTATAGACCAATCGGCACTCTGTATGTGATGCGGTCAACATAATGCTGGCCGCCTTTACTTCCCAGGACTTCACATAGTACCCATTTAAGTCCACCAGGTAGCCAATTTCATTTTTGAAAGTCAGGCACCGTTCGGATTCGAGTAAGCACGCGAGTAAGCAGGCATTGATGGCCAACCAACACCGGAGATGGTTTTGACCAGTGGTTCTCAACCTTACTAACGCCGCGACCCTTTAATACAGTTCCTGATAGGGTGGCGACCCTTTAATACAGTTAATGGTGGGGTGGCGACCTTTTAATACAGTTCCTGATGGGGTGGCGACATTTTAATACAGTTCCTGATGGGGTGGCGACCCTTTAATACAGTTCCTAATGGGGTGGCGACCCTTTAATTCAGTTCCTGATGGGGTGGAGAACCTTTAATACAGTT